ATTGCTCTACCTAAGGTCACCTCCCTGGCCTCAATATGAGGAGCTCTGGCACAGCCCGATGTTTCTCTAAGTGGGTTACCTTGCACTGGTTTCTATGCAAGGTGAAACTCAATAACAACTGCTAACTGACCTGCCAATTAAGTCAGAAGCTGGGACAGTGACAGCATAAACATAGGGGAACACAGTATGGCTAATGCAAAACACAGTAAAAGAAGTGTAAAATAGTGGGCAAGACAGACTTATTAATTTACTGTCTTAAAGTTGCATCACATACTGAGAACATATGCACTGTCCTGTGTGTGAGTCACCATCCTGATAGCACATGTGAGCTGCTCAGTAGCTGGAAGGTATACAAATTCATAGCGGACACAGCTACCTCATAAAAAGTGGGACCTGCCATATCTATCACCATGTACAAAACTCAAGTCCAAATGGGCCAAAGACCTCAACATAAATCCAGCTACACTGAACCTCTTAGAAGAGAAAGTAGGACGTATCCTTGAATGAATTGGTACAGGAGACCACTTCCTGAACATAACACCAGTAGCACAGACCCTGAAATCAACAATTAATACATGGGACCTCCTGAAACTGAGAAGCTTCTGTAAGGCAAAGGACACAGTCAACAAGATAAAACAGCAGCCCACAGAATGGGAAAAGATATTCACCAACCTCACATTAGACAGAGGGCTGATTTCCAAAATATACAAAGAACTCAAGGAGCTAGTCACCAAAACACCAAATAATCCAATTAAAAAGTGAGGTACAGAACTAAATAGAGAATTCTCAATAGAGGAATCTAAAATGGCTGAAAGACACATAAGTGCTCAACATCCTTAGCTATCAGGGAAACACAAATCAAAACAACTCTGAGATACCATCTTACTCCTGTCAGAATGGCTAAAATCAAAAACACCAATGACAATTTATGTTGGAGAGGATGTGGAGAAAGGGGAACACTCCTCCACTGCTGGTGGGAGTACAAACTCATATAGCCACTTTGGAAATCAGTATGGCGGATTCTCAAGAAAATAGCAATCAGTCTACCACAAGATCCAGCAATTCCACTCTTAGGCATACACCCAAAAGATGCACACCCACATAACAAGGACTTCTGTCCAACTATGTTCATAGCAGCATTATTTGTAATAACCAGAACCTGGAAGCAACCTGGATGCCCCTCAACTGAAGAATGGTTAAAGAAAATGTGGTACATTTACACAGTGGAGTACTACTCTGCAGAAAAAAAAAACAAAACAAAAATGGAATCTTGAAACTTGCAGGCAAATAGTTGGAATTAGAAGAAACCATCCTGAGTGAGGTAACCCAGTCACAAAAAGACAAGTATTTATTCACTCATATATGGATTTTAGACATAGAGCAAAGGAGTACCAGCCTACAATCCACATCTCCATAGAAGCTAGGAAACAAAGAGGACCCTGAGAAACATACATGGTCCCGCAGAGAAGGGGAAAGGGACAAGATCTCCTGAGCTAATTGAGAGCATGAGGGGAAGGGAGAGGGAGTTAGGAAAAAGAGAAGAGGAGAAGAGGAAGGGAGAGGAGGACATGAGGGAGCAGGAAGATTGAGGAAGGAAGGGGAAGAATAGAGGAAAGCAGGAAAAGAGATACCATAATAGGGGGAACCATTATAGGTTTACAGAGAAATCTGGCACTAGGGAACTGTCCAGAGATCTACAAGGATGACCCCAACTAACAATCTAAGCAATAGTGGAGAGGCTACCTTAAATGCCCTTCCCTGATAATGAGATTGACCTTATATACCATCCTAGAGCTTTCATCCAGCAGCAATGGAAGCAGAAGCAGACACCCACAGCTAAACAGTGAGCTGAACTCCTAGAATCCAGTTTCAGAGAGGGAGGAGTGATGAGCAAAGGGGTCAAGACCATGGTGGGGAAACCCACAGAAACAGCTGATCTGAACAAGGGGGAGCTCAGGGACCCCAGGCTGATAGCTGGGAAAGCAGCTTAGGACTGTTCCAGACCCCCTGAATGTGGATGTCAGTTTGGAGGTCTGGGCAACCTATGGGGCCCCTGGTAGTGGATCAGTATTCATTCCTAGTACACAAATGGACTTTGGGAGCCCACTCCACATAGAGGGGTACTCTCTCAGCCTAGACACATGGGGGAGGGCCTTGGCCCTGCTCCAAATGATATGACAGACTTTGAAGATCCCCTATGGAAGGCCTCACCCTCCCTGGGGAACAGACAGGGGGTGGGATAGGGGCCAGTGGGGGGCAGGGGAGGAGGGGAGGGAGAGGGAACAGGGATTGGCATGTAAAACAAGATTGTTTCTAATTTAAAGAAAAAAAAGTAACATATCTGTAAAAAAAAAGGGGGGGTTCTGAAGGATGGAGGTGCAGCACTAGCCCACAGCACTGTCCCACCTGCCCTTGGCCTGGCTGTCTCTGAACAACTTTGGGGGTGGGGGTGGGGATGGTGCAGGTACTTAGGACTCCTGAGCACTTCCACAGGCATTTCATAGGTACATGGCTTCAGACAGCAAATACTAGTGGTCTTACATATACATACCCTATTTTCACATTTTCACTCTTAGGCCTCTGCTCAAAAGTCAACTGCTGGATTGTCCTTGCTGCTATTCAGCTGCTACAGCACACATGGAGCCCCCAGTCAAGGCTTGCTTTCTGTTGTTAAAAGGTCCCCTCACAGCCGGGCGTTGGTGGCGCACGCCTTTAATCCCAGCACTCGGGAGGCAGAGGCAGGCGGATCTCTGTGAGTTCGAGGCCAGCCTGGTCTACAAAGTGAGTTCCAGGACAGCCTCCAAAGCTACAGAGAAACCCCGTCTCGAAAAACCAAAAAAAAAAAAAAAAAAAAGGTCCCCTCACAAAAGTGTGATTCTATTTGTTAGCTATAACTTTCCTAGTGGGAACACTGCAGGGTACTGGAATGTGCCCTTCCACCGCTGATCTTTCCTTGTAGCGCATAGAGCACCTGCAAGCCATACAGAGATCACCTGCTCTCCAAGGCAGAGCCCAGGGTCTCAGTGCTAGCTTGTTGCCACTGCATGTCTACAGAGCAGCAGGTAAAGATTTGCTGAGTGAACATTCTGTTACCTCTCTCCTGCTGCTTTCCCCAAAACTTCAGCCAGCAGTTGTGGGTAATTAGGAACCACCCCACTTTGTCTGTGTGTGTGGGTGTATTATGGTACCATGGTACCTGTGTTGAATTCAGCAGACAACCCTGGGTTTTCGTCCTAGCCTTCCACTTTGACACAGCAACTCTCTTACTATTAGCTGCTGTTAACTGAAGTCCCATAACATTTCAGTTCTCTAACCATCATATCATACTAAACAGTTGTTTTCCCAGTCAAAAATTTTAAAGAGTTTATCATTTACTGAACTTAGAACCTTCTGGGAAACGTAAAATGCTCATTTTTGTATCTTATTTTGGCACTGTATTTTAAGTTCTTGCTGTCCCATAAGCTTCTGTGATTTTCCTAGCCCTGTCTTCTATCTCCCTGCAAGGGCATGCTAGGATTGCAGACACACATGCCATTGCATTCTGCTTTTATATTAAAAGCTTTTATTTAAGTTTTATATGCATGGGTCTTTTGTCTGCAGATATGTCCATGTACCACTTGTGCTTCTGGTGCCGTTGGAGGACAGGAGAGGGCAACAGATCCTCTGAGGAGTTACGGATGGTGTGAGCTGCTATGTGATGTGGTGTTTGGACTTGAACCCAGATCCTCCTCTGAGTCATCTTCCGAGCCTATGCTTCCTGCTTTTACATGGGTTCTGGATAGTACTTTACCCTTAGAGTCAGCTCCTCAGCCCTACATGCTTTCTTCCCCAGCAACTGTGCCTCCTTAACAGCTTTTCAGATTCTTTTCCAGTGAAGTCATGGCAGGTTTTACTTTAGACAGTTTTTTTCCACACACTTTTAACTTGTGTGTTACTAGCTTCAAAGGCCTTGTGCACTCCAGTCAAGTGTCCCAGAGCTGAGTTATACCCTAGTCTAGCTGATATTTAAGATACTACTCTTAGGAAATAACCATTTCTTCTGTTTCTTTGTTATGAAGATGATTTGGGCATGTCAAGTTCAATGACATGCTGGCTCACCAGAGTGCTTGGAGAATGGGACCTGACAATGAAATGTGGTTGACTAATACATTTTAGAAAAAAATGTTACAACTTTGGGAGAGAAATGCTTCTCCTAACATAGAATTCCAATGGCATTTCTATTCTATAAATCTGTATCATAACTAACAGTTGTTCCCATTCAAAAGCATTAGGTTTATTATCTCCAAACTTAAAGCATTGAGGGAAATTTAAACATTTGTGTTTTGTGTGTTGGACTTTGGAACTGCCACTTGTCATCTGAGTGTCCTGAACAGAGAGGCAGGAGAGGCACTGGATTGGTTCATTTCTGTTGTAAGGTATACCGCTGTGATTTCTAGGGACTTCACTGGGTCTTCGTGACAGTCAACCCCATCCCAGTCACTCTGACAAGCTTCTTTTTATCTCTAAGAATATTCCTGGGGGATGGAGAGATGGCTCAGTGGTTAAGAGCACTGGCTGCTCTTCCAGAGGTCCTGAGTTCAATTCCTAGAAATCACATGGTGGCTCACAGTCATCTGTAATGAGATCTGGTGCCCTTTACTGGCCTGCGGGTATACATGCAGGCAGAATACTGTATATATAATAAATAAATAAATCTTTAAAAAATAAAAATAAAAAGAATATTTCCAGGAGAGAACCATGTGGTTTTTGCTTAAGTCAGCTAAGGCTTGGCTATCTTCCTTAGTGAAATATCTACATCTGACTTTAGCATACACTTATTATCCATATTGCTGCTTCCAAAAAGCATTATTTTACTGCAAAATCCAATCAGAGGATAAAACACAGCCCTCAAGTTACTTCTCAAACCAAAGGACCCTGAGTTTTCTGTATTTACTTGTGCAGAGTAGACACCTTGTTAGCCAGATGTCAGCTTACAAGGACTTAAGGAAATCTACCATTACCTTTAAAGATTGTCTCTTTGTCACGTAATTCTCCGACTGCAGCAGTTTCTCATAGTCTTCAAAAATCTAAGAAAAAGAAAGGAAGTCTGTAAGCATGGACTGTGTCCTCTGCAGCACAAGTGTGCTCACTCCTCCAGAAGGTTCCCCAGACCCAGCCTCATCACCGCTGCTCATAGGGCGGGCTCGGCACCTCACTACAGTTCCGACACAGAAAGAACCAGGACAGGGAGATGAAGGCATATGGGATACATGCTGCTCATTAGTTCTACAAACCAGAAATTGAGTTGAAAGATGGAATCATTGTGAATCCTCTCAATCTATTAAAAGCTTCAAGATATCTCATTTTTAAGAAATTTGGTTCTGTAGTTTGGTGGTTGTGGGTCTACACTTTGGGAAAAGAGTAAATTATGCTTAGGGCTTAGGACTGTCAAATCCATAATGTCAACATGTGAGGCTTGGGATGATCATTGCTAGGCAGTGACCATGTCACCCCTACTGGCCTGTGTGAACTTTAATCATTCTCATAAGAAACCATGACCCTGTGACATGGGGTCTTCCTGGATCTCAGTGTAGTCACTGGTCATGTGGGCTAGGCCCTTTGGGAGCACAGAGCATAGTAGCCTGTTACTCGCTTCCCACAATTTGTGGGTACATCATTCAGAGAACTTTGCAGCCAGAAGCAAAAACAAAACAAAACAAAACAAAAAACTCAGGTACAGAGAAGAACAGGACAGCCTCAGGGGGCTGAGTAACAGGCTTATGAGCCCACCCATCCAAACTTTTGACTCAGAATTGAGAAGCACAAGTATGCAGCTCAGATTAAAGTCACATTATTCTCTTTCATAAGCCACTTTGTACTACTCTTGACCGCAGGGAAAATGTTAGAGCTCAGATATGGAGGCTCTTCCTAAAAGCTCATGTATTGAATACCTGGTCCCAGCTTCTGGTGCTATTGAGAAGGGATGAACAATAAGAGGGTTAGTTTCATCAATAGACTAATCCCTTGAAAAAGTCACAGTGAAATGGATTTTAGGAGAGGAGAGATAGGCCACTAAGGGTCATTACCTCTCTCTCTCTTTAATGTGTGTGTATGTAGTGCACATGTATGCATGTTTACATGTTGATGGTTGTCTTTGATTGCTCTACAGTATATATTGAGACAAGACATTTTATTGAACCATGAGTTCAGCAGTTCAGCTAGTGGCTGGTCTGCTTGTTCCAAGGATCAGCTGTTTCTGTTTCCTATGCACTGGGATTGCTGGGGTTCTGTTAAGCCCACCTGACTTTTAAAGTGGGTTCTGGGGACCCTAAACTCCAGTCCTCATGTTATACCTGCTTAGCCATCTCCTCCAACCCCAGGAACATGCTTTTGATGGGTGCAGTTTGTCTCTGGACTCTTCTACTGATTCCTGGCTGCTATAGGGTAAGTATCTTTTTCCTTTGCCACATGTTTCCCACCATGATGCTCTGACCCACAACAGGGCCAGTAACAGAGCCAAGTGACCACTGAACTGAAACCATATTCCAAAATAAATCTTTCTTTCTTATTTTAAGTTATTGCTCTTAGACATTTTGTCACAGGAACAAAAAGATGACCAACACATGACATTTTATAGATGGATGTATTCATCAGGTAAATTCTGTTAATTGTGAATATAAAATATAAATACAGTGGACTCTGAGTCCTCTGGTTCTTTTCCATTGTCCCTTTCAGCCTTTCCTTGTAGCCTGTCTCCATTCCTTTGTGACACCCACCAACTGCAGAAATATTTTCTACCACAGCCACCACATGTGGTTAGGACTCAGATTGGGCAAGGGCACCAAACAATGCAACACTCACGGAAAAAAAAAAAAAGGCAAGAACAGATATCTATGCCAAACAGACTTCCTTCCAAGTGCCAGGCAGTGGGCAATCTGAACCCATGCCTCTAGCTTGGGCATCTAGAACTACAAGTTTCTGGCTTTAAAGAACACAGCCCTTAGTTCTCAGGTCCTGGAACTACGATCCTCTGAGACTGTCAGCCCAGGCCCCAAGTCTTCTGCATTTCCCACCCATAAGCAGTTTCCATATAAACAGAACAGGAGGTCCCCAGCTAGCCCATGAGTAACAAGAGGGAGAATGAAAGAGTCTTAAAAACGATTCTACTTACAGTATCATAATTTTGCTCTAAGAAGTCCGCGACCAACACTTTATGTCTGGTTAACAAATCCTAAAAAGAACAAGCAGGGAAGAGAAATTATTATAGCTAGTGACCTTTATCATTAAAGTGGAGAATAACCTTTGCTTCTATAGGTTAGCAAAACCATTCACTTCAAACACACAGAAGCTGGAAAAGAACATATTCATTTACACCACAAAATTATTTCCATACCTACTTTAAGATGTGAAGCCCAAGTTTGTTTCATATTAAAACAAGGGCAAAACACTGAATGTCAAATCTAGTGTTTAAAATAGTAGAAATAAAATTTAAGTGGTAAACACGACATCTACAAGGTAACTTTACAGAATATTTCTACATTGTGTTAATAATAAACATCCAAGTAAAGTCTGATGACCTTTATCGAAGGCCAGTAACTAATCATCAACTCCATACTACCTAGGCTGACCTCCAACTCCTGAGCTCAGTAATCTTTTTGCCTCAGCCTAAGTATCGGCATCACAGACACATGCTATGGTGCCTGAGTGCAACTAATTTTCAAACAAGAATTCTGAATGGCACAATACCTGACCTCAAAAACTAATACAAAAGATTTTCAAACATTCCAATCTTTCATTGTTTTCTTAACCGCCGTGTGTGTGTGTGTGTGTGTGTGTGTGTGTGTGTGTGTGTGTGTGTGTTATATACAAGAGGGTGTTCAAGTGTACTTGTATGGGTGGGGGTCAGAGAAGCATGTTGGGTCCTGCCCTGTCTCTACTTCATTCCTTTGAGACAAGGTCTCTCACTGAACCTGGTGGCCAACAAATTCCAGTAATCCTCTTGTCTTTGCTCTCTACAGCACTGGGGTTAACAAGTTGATGTGTGGGCACACTCACTTTTATATGTTCTTAAAACATCGATCATTTCCCTAGCCCCCTAACCACTTCAATTATTTATTTGTTTTTAAGCTTTATTATTGTTGTTTTGTGTGTACCCATGGTTTGGGGAGAGGTATATATGCCATAGCACTCATGTGGAGATCAGATTCACCCTTAAGTGGGTTGTGAGGATCAAACTCAGTTCAGGCCTGTGCAGGACCTGCTATACCTGCCGAGCCATCTTTGATCTCCCACCCCAAAGGGAGGTAGCTGGACTCCAGAAGCACAGGAATGACGTGTAACATAGCATCTCAGGACTGTCTGCTTGCTATCAGGTGAATGGTCCACGAGATACACACTGTAAGTTTCTGAGTTACATAAAATGTCATCTCAGAGTTGAAGAGATTAATCTTATCTTACTACAGATACAAACTTGCAGAAGATTACAAAAAAACCATGAAGGAACTTCTGGTTGTCTTCAACTCACACCTAAGTCATGTCCCTATTTCACTTCAATGTTTGAAAAAAGAAAATAAGCCTCATTTAATCCCTTTTATATACTTAGAGGCTAAGTACCCAACTCAAGTATTGTGAAAATTTTAATTAAAAACAAGATTTTTTAACCTTTCTAGAATAAAGCCTAATACTTTAATACAGTTAATTAAAATCTCCCCTACTCCCCACCCACACAGTAGGTGAGGGCAGGGGAGAGGGCATGTGAGTGGAGTTGCTTGTGGAAGCCAGGAGAGGATATGAGATACCCTGAAGTTAGAGTTTCAGGCTGCTGTGAGCTGTAGGACAATGTACTTGCAGCTAAACTCAGATCCTCTGGAAGACATCCTCTGAGACAGCTCCCTAGCCCCCTATTTCTATTTAAATAACAAAATGTGAATGATTTAAAGCATTTTGCATACTTTTTAAAATTCACTTGTTTTTTGTTTGTTTGTTTTGCTTTTGTTTTTGCTGCAAACGCATTTACTGTAACCTGATATTATGAAGTACTGTCCAATGTCTAATGGTTAGTTATGCTTTGGATCATTTTCTCATGGTGCTAAGGGTCACCCACAGACAGACCTTAGGTTAAATGACCTAAGGTCCAGTGCAGTGCTGTTGCCTGAGTTATACTGCTTAGGCTCAGGCTGGTTTTGAACTCCTAGACTGCAGTGACCCTTGCAGCTGGGACTACAGGTTACACATGCAAGAGCTCAGCTGGAAGGAGTGAGGACCTTTAGGGGAACAGCACTGTCACTCTCTTTGCTTCCTGGTCTACACTCAAGTGTACAGCACTGATCCACCACCCGCTTCCTGCCATGAGGTTTTGTCTCACCACAGGCCCAAAGTGCCAGGCAGCTGACCTTGTTCTGCAACTGTAAAAATGAAATTTAGGTTGTGTAGTACCTTGTCATACAAAGCTGTGGGACGGTAACACATAGTGCAGTCAGGTAATTTAGCATATGCATTTGTGGTGATAACAAAAATATACTCTTAGTGATTTTCAAAATATAACACACTACTCTTAACAAGCATCAACAAGTTCTATACTAAACCAACATTTATTTGTACGCCTAACTGAAACCTTGTATCCTCTGACCAACTCTTACCCCAGGATCATTCTGTTTTCTGCTTCTATGAGTTCAAAAATATCTTTCGATTCTGCATATAAATGATACCATGATTTGTCTTCCTGTTGTGTCTTATTTATTTAATTCCTTGAGGTGCATCAATGTTGACAAAAATGGCAGGATTTCTTTTTTTCTACAGCTAAACAGTACTCCATTGTAGGTGAACAGCACATTTTCTTCTCTTTTGTGTTTGTATGCTTGTGGTGTGTGTGAGCACAATGCACTAAAGGACATCAGAGGACAATTTTGGCGAGTGTTTTGTTTTCTAAACCTTTGTTTTGCGCAGTGTTTTCTCATTTCTCATAGAGTGGCACCCTCCAGGCTTCTGGGTGATTTCCTCCCTCTGCCTCCCGTCTCACTACAGAGAGGCTTCCATCACGAATGCACGCTATCACATGCTTTTCACGTGGCTTCTTTCTGGAGATGGAGCTCAGGATGTCAGGCTTGCAGTGGGCCATCTCACCAGGCACTAACCACCTCATTTATTTACTCATTCCCTTGTCTGTCAGTGGACTCCTTTCCCTTGCTATTGTGAACAATCCTGCAATAATCACCCTTCAACATACTTGTTTCATTTTCTTTCTGTCTGTTGTTCCCTCACATACATCTATACTTGAGTGTGTATATGATATACACATCAACATACCCTCAGATTCGTATATACAGAAATCATGTGCTAAAACTGAGGATCATATTACATGTACATGCCTATGTACACATAGGTGTTAACTTATTATAGATCATAATATGGAGTGGTGGGGAGCTGTATAAACACTAGAGTGGATCCTACCCAAGATGGAAACAGTGGAAGCACACAAAGTAAAAACACGTGAAATTTTAAGGAATTTTAAATAAAAAAAAATACTTAGTGAATTCTTTCATCCTACTTCCTAACTATTTGGTTTGACCGGGGAAAGCGCTTCACAGTATCAACATTAAGCTTTAAATAATATCTGCTGTTGACATTTCTAATGAATCTGCTTTAGAGAAAGTGGTGTGAAATGACAAAGACACATGACAGCATGGGCCGGGTAGAAGAGTCAGTGGGGAGGTGCCACCTACTATGGTTTCTCCTGATGCTGGAGACTGCAACTTCCCAGGTTCAAGGACACAGGACTAAGAGGTGGCAGAGAGGACCAGAACTAAACACCCGAGTCAATTAGATTCCTGGAGAGGAAGAGTAGATGGCTACAAGGGAACCTTTTAGAGGAGAAAGACTATACTGTAGACAGTGCCATAGGAATACAGCTGGCAATGAAGACACAGGTTATTAAACTGGACAACAGTCATCCTAGAGCAAAATAACTCACTGACATGGCGAAGTCAAGCTTGTGCCTACCTAGAGCCTTCACCCCTATTTTTGACTAGTGTTCATTGCACTGGAAGGTACTTGGCATGCTACCAAACGAGAAAGGTACACACCAACCCAGCTGCAAACCTTTCAGTCTACAGTGTTGTCCTGCCTGCAAGATACGCTGGTGCGATATGACCATAAAGTTTGTGAGAGTAACCAACCAATATCTGATTTGAGTTAAGTCCCACCCCATGAGATGCAAACCATACCCAACACTGCTTGGTTGGTCAAGAACCTTAGATTGGATAGGTCAAGGGTCTAGGAGAAAACCATATACTACTGTTCTTCTGAGGGAATGCAGCAATAAAATGACTCCTAATGACATTCTGGTATACTCAGTCCAGGCCTTGCTCAGCCGTTATCAGTGAAGCTTCATCCTCTAGCAGAGGGGAGCAAATACACTGACCCAGAGCCACAGAATATGCTTTCCCCTTTCAGAGGCCCAGTTGCTCGTTTTAGCAGATGGCCTTTGAAGTCTCCACTCTTGGGGCAGTTTGTTCCCAGGCCTTTCTTCTCCTTCGTCCTCACTGGTCTTGCTAGTTTTCCTTTTTTTCTTCACACTGCATTTCTTCCTCTGATTTTCATGGTCTCCTTAATCCTGTCCTGTCTGGACACAGCTCAAGATGGCTACAGAAGTCTTAGTTGTTATAAACATTTTGCCTGCCAGGGAACCCAAAGGAGTTCCCAAAGTCAGAAGGGTAAATCAAACTGTTAAGATAGATGGCCATGCCTTTCATGCTGGCTACCGGTGCCTGGACTGTTTGCTAACTAATGCTTGACTGCTTGACATGCTAATGGTTTTTTGAGAAAGGTCAAGTACATTTCAGTTGCTCACAGCTCACCTTTGCCCAGCTTCCTTTTGCCTGGGGTACAAGAATTCTCTCTGCCTGCTGCCCAAGACTTGCTTCTGTACATGAGTTCCCAATAAGCTGTACTTTGTATAGTTCTGAATCTGTCTGCTTTTTTTTTTGTCATTTCTCAATGATTATCATACACTAGGTCCGACTTTTTCTGAAATAGACCCCTGCCCCACATCTTCAGTCTTGACAGACTTCCTGCTCAGGCAGACTGGTTGAGACAAGTCAAATACCCTAATGGGCTGTGCTGGCCCTGCCTTCAAGCCCCATGTTGTTTACTGCAGGCCAGCCTATATATATAGCTCCCTTCTTTCACAGCTCCAGGAGAGTCAGCATGGCTACTGTTTGTGACCACCTAATACTTCCATCATCTTTAATTTGTCTTTGCCTGACGGTTCTTGTCAGTACAGTTTCCATCATTTCATTATATTCCCAGGAATGTCTTCATTGTCCTTACAGACTGGATCCCAGGGAGCTGCTCAGACTTGCCTTCCCCTTGGCCAAATTTGATTTTGCTCACCACTCTCCCATTATCACCGCCCATCCCCAGCTTCCACTACCCCAGCCTCAATCCTTTCCCGCAGCAACTTGCCTTTTCTTCAGTCCCGCCTTCCGTCTTTTCCACCCCAGTCTGCAGCCATTTCTGCACTCTTTCCATTTTCTGGTACTTCCCCCTATTTAGGCTTCATGAATTAACATATTGTTTTTTGTTTTTTTCTTCAAGCATTGGAAGAATAGGCTAAGCCAGTTCTTAAGATGTAGATAACAGTTTCCAGAACTGAAAACCACTGTTCTCCCCTTTCTCCAGCTCTAAAGAATTATTATTTAAAAGACTGTTTATCAGTCTGTTATTCTAGTTCATCGTGATATACAGACTATGGAACTGGGCAATTTACTGTTTGAATGGCCACTTTAATTTAGTTGTGAGATGAGTTTCTTACAATAGCAGTTCTTTTAAAAATAAGATTAGAGTATATGTTAATATTAGAATACAAGCAATGTCAATATTGCTGAAGTGTATATTTAAGATAGTATACAGACATTAAAAGTAACAAAAGTTTTCTAAAAGATGTTAAGTATTTATACCTAGAAAAAATAACAGAAGAACATTTAGAATTATGTGAATGGTTAAATTGCTGAAATGTTTTTGAAGAAATGATTCAATCTATACTTGTAAATGAGTTTTATCCACTTCCCAAAGCTTTTCCACAATTTTTGGAATTTCTTTTCAGAAATGATCTTCAAAACAAATCTGATAGACAGTGAAGAAAATCAGACTCTATGTTAGTTATCTTAAAATTTATTTTTTTCATTGCAATTTCTGTTATTAGCCAAGACAGAAACAGCTGTAGCTTAGCAAATCGTTTGCCTTGTACTCCAACTTGGGTGTCAAATTTAAAAAATATATGCTTACTTATTTATTTTATGTGTTGGTGTATGCACCCAAGCATACTTGTAACTTCTTTTTTTTTTTTTTTTGGTTTTTCGAGACAGGGTTTCTCTGTGGCTTTGGAGGCTGTCCTGGAACTCGCTTGGTAGTCCAGGCTGGCCTCGAACTCACAGAGATCCGCCTGCCTCTGCCTCCCGAGTGCTGGGATTAAAGGCGTGCGCCACCAACGCCCGGCCCAAGCATACTTGTGTAGAGGTCAGAAGATAACATATGGAAGTTGGTTCTTTCCTTTTACTATGTGGGTTTCAGGCTTGTCAGGCTTGGTGGCAAGTACTCATGGCTGCTGAACTAGTCTGTCTGCCCATTTCCAAAACGTTTAGCTGCCTTGAAGACAAAGGTTTTCCATTATTGAAAAATTGAGTATGCAACTGCCATTGATGTCAATTTTAAATGAATTAAATAATGGCAGGATCATAACTATAAATGGATGACTTTCTAAAACAAAATCCTTGAAGGTGAATGACTCATTGGATACATAAGTTCTAGTAGCTTCATTTGCAAATTAGCTATACTATTTTCTGACATGATCTCTGAACTCCTGATGCTAACACACATAGAACAGAAAGTGGAATCATTGTTGGGGATTGGAGGGAGGAGAAAAGGGGAGGTTATGTGGGACAGAGTTTTAATACTGCAAGATAAAAAGCTTCTGGAGAAGGACACTTGAAGACGTAGCCACACTAAGTATGCATAAATAATGGTTAAGAATGAATGCACATTGTATCATGACTAAAACATTTTTAAATTAAAAAACTAAGTTAGGTGAAATACAAACACAAAACGACAAAGGAGACAACAGATGATAAAAGCATAGATAACTACATGGTCAAAATATAAAGAACAAAAACACATAGATGACTGATCATGAAAAATACTAGTATGCTTATTAATATTCTGTTTACCCAGGGAAGTATAAAAGCTACACTTACATAGTGACTTGATGTCTTCACACTCCATGGTGCTGCTGTCCATCTCCTTCCCTTACCCAGTTCTGCCCTGGAGGCAGTCTCTGTTGCTGGTTTCCATACACCCTTCCAGAGTCACCCTGTACATGTGCCTGAAGTGGGGGCTTCTCACCTTAACACACTGTTAATGTGCAGCAGTGCTAACACATGGTAATATATTCCTCTGCTTCACTGGACATGTCAGAAGCCATTCCACTGAGCTTGTGTTAAGTACTTTGAGTATGTTTCTGCAATGTGAAAGGCTGGTTTTACCTCACCCCTGGCTGGCTACATTGAGGTCTAAGGAGTAGAAGTGCCTCTGGAACTAAATAACCTGTCTGACTTTGGGGAGAACTTTTACCTTAAAAGTAGCAAAGGCATCTGAAGCGATATCAAATGTCGACAGCTCCACATACTTGAAGAAGTCTCTGAACTGATCAGAAAAGAGGATGATTTTGGCAAGTGGTTCATGTCGAATACATTCTCTTAGCATAATCCCACAGCGTAAGGCGATCTGTGGGGCTTCATATCTAAAGCACAAACAAGAGAGAAAGCAGAACAGTTATCCCACTCACGAAATCTATCAATGGAATCAGAAGAGTCAGTTCAGTTCTGCTGATAACAGAAACACAGATGCCATTTTCACAGTTCATTCAAACACCATTCATTCAACCCACTGCTATGTGCTGGGCACCATTCCAGATCTTGAGGACACAGGAGCAAACAGGGAGGTCATTGTCACTGCAGCTAGCATTTTAGTGAGGGTGTGTTTGCTGGGGGAAGATGCAGAATAGAAACAACATAAAGGTCATTTCCTATACTCTGAAGCGCTGTGAAAACTGAAGGCGGTAAAATGAGCAGTCTAGAGTTGACTACTTATATGTGTGCCTGTGAGAGTACGAGGGAGTATTTTAATTTATACTGAAGGAGAGGGAAGAAGCTTCAAGAAGAAGCTTGGTGAGTCAGAGGAGAGGAAATGCAGCCAGCATGGTGGGAAAGCATGGAGGAAGCAGCGAGTAGGGGGTCCCAAGAGGGCAGGGCAGGACCAAATCATATGTACATTTGAAAGCTAAGGTAAACAGTTTGGTTTTAAGTGTGACAGAGAGTTTAAAGCAAGAAATGAACGCTGTGGGAACACCAGACCTTGAGCAGAGACCCACTTCCCCTTCTGCCTGGGAGTAGGCAGCTGTAAAACAATGTATACTAAAAACAATACAATGCCTGAGGGCATTAAGTTCCTGGAAAAGGCCTGCCCACAGAAACCACCCTGAGCTCGACCTTGTCCAAAGACTAACCGCCTCTTCTGCCACGCCCAGATCAGTTTCTGGGGGTCAGAGCAGAACCAGCCAGGAGAGAGGAGAGAGCAGAAGCTTCTCTGGTGGGAGCCTTTCTTAGGAAGTTTTCTTGAACCTTTTTGGGGCCTGCTTAAAGTTTTCTTTACATCGTTGAATGAGTCTCTGTGTTGTCAATCCCCGACACCCTCCGCACGTTCTCGGACACAGGCCGCAGACGCGACAAACGCATCCTAATTTATGTTTTAAATAGAAGGCTCTGGGGGTGGGGTGTAGTCCAGTGATAGAGCAATTGTCTAGCATGCTAGAGGCCCTGGGTTTGAATCCCAGTACCACCAAAAAATTTAAAAAAAAACAAAAAAGACCCTTGTTACTTGGGAATAAGGAGTAGACTGGGCAGCTAGAGTGGAAGCTGGGGAGCAGGTGAAGGTAAGAACAGATGCCTAGCAACAATAATGACAGCTTGGTACAGTGGCAGAGGCAGGACACTAGATCTTAGTAGGTACATGCTGATGCTGTCTAAAAGAAGAGCCAACAAGGTTTAGAGATACTGGAGGTGGGGATGATGAGGAATAAATCCAAGCTCAAGATTCATGAATGATTCCTGTGCTTTTGTCTTAATTGGGTGGATGGTGGTACCATGCATAAACTGATAGAGAAAGGAGTTAGTGAAGAGGTTAAGAAATTGCCACTGACCATCAACATTAGTTTGGAGATGTTAGTTCTGAAGCAGTGGTGACTCCTTGACAGCAGAGTACTCATCTTGAGTTAAAGAAAAGGACAGGAGGGAATTATATATAATATGGCTTGTAAGCAATAGATGAAGAGTAGAGGACTGTCTACTGACTGGCCCACTGGTCCACTAGAGAAACATGGTATCCGCTGTAGAGACAGAGAAAGACTGGCACACCACATCCGTTTCATTTCCAAATAACATGTCTTTCAGATGTTCAATTCAGCATCCAAATGAACACAGGACTGAGTCACATTTCATTGTGTGGTAACATTTCAAGAAAATGGGTAACATCCCAAAGAAGACAATTCCTGTATTGAACCATGCAATGGACAAGTGTGTGCTAAGTGTAGGGAGACAGAGCAGAGGCAGCTGCAGTTGTAGAACATGGAGAAACAAGAACATTCTACCAGGGTTTTAAACAGATTAAATAATTTTCTACTTCAATTAAATACACACTAAGATCTGTGGTTTCAGTAGAAGGCCTATGGAAAAGAGAAGCTCTAAATGTCTCAGCTCTTGAAAAGGCACGCTAGTGTGGTCTTCTCTGAGAACAGGATGGTGTGACTGTCACAACGGAACTGGCTTATCACTCAAATGTACCATGAGTTAGTTATGAGAGGGGACATACAGCTTACTGTTCTCCTAGCTCTTGATTTTGCCACGGATGTTTGGTTTTTGTGGTGGGTTAAGTACATAAATTATATTTCAGACAGAAAGTGTAAAATTTTTCTTTCCTTTTAAAAAATTTAAATTAGAAAAATCTTATTTTATATATTAATCCCAGTTCCCTCTCCTTCCCATTCTCCAATGCCCGCCACCAACCCCCATCCCATTCCTCTTCTGTTCCATAGAAAGGGTGAGGCTTTCTGTGGAGAATCATCAAAGTCTGTCACCTCATTTGGAGCATGGCCTAGACCCTCCCTCCATGTGTCTAGGCTGAGCGAGTATCCCTTTATGGGGAATGGGTTCCCAATGTCCATTCATACACTAGGTATATAAATGCTGTTCCATTACCAGGGAACCCAGAGATTGCCCAGGCCTCCTGACTGACACCCATGTGCAGGGGGTCTGGTTCCATCCTATGCTGGTTTCCAAGCTGTCAGTCTGGGGTTCATGAGCTCCCCCTTGTTCAGGTCAGCTGTTTCTGTGGGTTTGCCCACCATGACCTTGACCCCTTTGCTCATCAGTCCTCCCTCTTTGCATCTGGATTCTAGGAGTTCAGCTCAGTGCTTAGCTGTGGGCCTCTGCTTCTGCTTCCATCAGCTACTGGATGAAGGCTCTAGGATGGCATATAAGGTAGTCATCAATCTCATTATAGGGCAAGTGCATTTAAGGTAGCCTCTCCACTATTGCTTAGATTGTTAGTTGGGGTCATCCTTGTAGATCTCTGGATATTTCCCTAGTGCCAGATTTCTCTTTAAACCTATAATGGCTCCCTCTATTAAGGTATCTCTTTTCCTGGTCTCTATTCTTCTCCTGACTCAATCTTCCTGGTCCCTCGTGTCCTCCTCTTGCCTCCTTCTTTTTCTCTTCCCTCCCTCCGTGCTTCAGAAAGTATAAATTTTAAGGTGAAGCTTCACAACTTCCATTTTGAATGCCAATTCAACTGTAGGAGCTTATTTGGTTTATTTTGGTGTGTGTGTGTTTATTTAATTACAAGTGTTTCTATAATAAAGCTTATTTTTAAAAATTTAAAAAGAAAAATACCAACATAAATTAATTTTGTGGCAGAAGACTGCATTTTAATAAATAAAATAAAAATCATATGTCTGAAAACCAAAACTAAATAATTCTTTAATAAAACTTTTAGAGGCTGGGGAGATGGTTCAGTGGTTATAAGCACATACTGTAATTGCAGAGGGTCTGAGTTTGGATCCCAGCTCCCTGTCAGATGACTCAAAACCAGCAGTCAACGCCAGCTCTAGGGGCAAATCAACACCTCTGGCCTCCATAGGCACTTGCACTCATATGCACTTTTCTATACACAGATGCATATATACACATAATGATAATTACATATTAAAAACACATCTTTAAGATAATTTATGAAAACTTACCAACTACAAATGATAACATTTGGTTAAGTAATAAAGAACAATGTACTTTTTCATATGACCATATTATTTTTATGAAATTCAGATACAAAAATAAAATTCCCTTTCCTACACTTTGGGAAGTAGGCTACTTTATAACATTCAAATTGACAAAAAGCAGTAGGGGAAATTACAAAGATAGTTCAGGGTGGTACTGATTTATTTTCATTTATGCTAAATGATAATCACTATTTAGCACAATTTTGGTATTCCCTTAAGTAGTGCACAACAGCATGGAACACCAATATATTCAGATAGACATAATTCTCCTTAGAATATAAGAAATGCCAATTTATATTAGCAATCTTATATTAGAAATCAGCCTACTGGAATTCACTGCTGTTAGATATAACATGGGATGTTATTAAAGATGTAAAGAGGGACATAATTTTTTAAATGCCAAGGAAAAACCACTAATTACACTTATCTTACTACAAGTTAGAGTATTAAAGAGGTTATAAAATAAAGGCTATTGGCCTAGAGCAGTGGCTCTCAATCCTCCTAATGTTGCAACCTTTCAACACAGTTCCTCATGTTGTCGTGATCCCCAACTATAAAATTACTTCATTGCTATTTCATAACTGTAATTTTGCTACTGTTATAAATTATAATGTAAATGTCTGATATGTGACCCCGAAGGGGTTATGACCCACAGGTTGAGAAGCACTGTCCTAAAGAAAGAACAGAACTAGATAAACACAGTACCTAGACTAATTAAAATCTATACTCACTGGTAAGATATCTGTGACCTTTCAGGATCTGGCTTGAGGCCACCGGTTTACTGTCCCATCTCAGTCCTTAGAGGACTGAGTTCTCTGGGATGGAGTGTCCCTCATACACTTGGCACCACGAATGCATCTTTCAGCACTTAATTCAATGCCCATCTCACATCCTTTGTACTCTTCCTCCTTTGCACTCCCACATAGCTGCCCCTAACCTTACATCAGCATTTCTCATTGCGTAGTATCGTATTCCACTGTATTAAGTCACAAGTCAGTTTCTATTACGTCATTTCAAAGAACTTAGTTTCTGGGAAGGTCTCACTCATCCTTTTACATTTCCCTACCCCTATTCCTCCCAGGCCCCAGTAGGTGTCTATGTCCTCTTCACTGATCCTGTCCTCACTTTCCCATGAACTCTAGTGCCTAGCATGCTTTTCCTGTGTGGGCATATGATGAATCCAATGAACCTCAAACTCGAACTGAACCTACTAATACCAGAGCTCTAGAGAGACTCAAACTCTGGCTTATACAAAGGACAAATGATCTCCAGCCAACAGTTCTCATTCCTGAATTTAGTTTCCATCTATAAAAAGTTTCCACTCTAAGTTTTGGGTATAATTAGTTCTATTTTTCCTTTCATTTCATGAGGTTTATTGGAACCATCTGTGATGCACCGATGGTTTATTT